AAAAAAAAAAAAAGAACTCCACATATTTGGAGAACTACTTCGAATGTAAATAGAAAAATGGCTTGTTTTTATCAGCAAGCGATGTTGGCATCTCAGCAGTTTTCTCATCTCTCAGAATTACGCCATGCCACGGGATTTGTGTGGTGTGTTACTGCTGGTCACGGAATGTCGGCAGTGACTGTTATCGTGTCAGGACAGACCTTCCATTAGAACTCCGTGTGGTTGTGACACTGACAGATACAAATCTGCAGTCTGACAGATGTTTTTCCAGCCATGCAATTGCCTCTGAAGCAAATGTGGTTTTAACAGGAGAAGCCTGTTTCTGGTTCTGCATTGACTGGCTGACTTGCCTGACAGGCAGTTACAGCACAAACCTACTCCACTTGCTGTGCTGCTGAGGAGGTTTGTCTGCTCTTGAAACTGTCGTTGTGTCTGAGGAACATCTCAGACTGCTGCTCTCTCATCTCTCCATCTTACTGTCTCCTATAAAATGTTAACTTCTCTGTGGTTTAGCCTGGTGTAAAGCTTAGAAAGTAAGTCTTCATTAAGCCTAAGGTACTACTACACTTCACTGCTGTTCAGTCAACACTGTTAGGTATGGGGGTTTTTCTAGCAGTTGCTTGAATGCCACGTTCTTGGAATACTGTCTATAACTAATTAGCCACAGAAGAGACTTTTTTGGCTGCCTTCCCTGCTTTATTTGTTTATTCCTGATCAAAAGTATAATAAGGGTTGGGAAAAGATGATTTGCATTGAAGGCATCTACTAAACAGCTCCCTGCTTCTAAAATAGCCACTGGCCAAGCCCCAGCTCGTGCAAGGTAACGTGGTGTTATCAGAAAGAGGTGGTATTAGTTGGAGTTAACGAAGAATAACAGTGATCCCACTTTTTTTTATTTGGAATGGTGAAGTCTGAGCGCTCCTATATTGAAAAGGCCTCGCTCTCTGTGGCTGGATGGCGTGGGTGCTGTAAACACTTGTGTGCCAGTGGCAGAAAGAAGTAAAGCTCAGATTTCCCCAGTGGGTTTTCCCCTTGTCTTCCCTTGGCAGTAAGGATGCTATTGTGATGAGTATGCAGCATTCCTCAAAAGTAATCTTACTGGCACATACAGGAGAAACCACTGATCACAGAAGCATGTTGATTACAAGCTCTTGTTTCTCTGTCTCTTAACATGGAGGCTTTTTAACTAAGCAGCCTTTTTTTTTAATATATATAGTTTTTTAAGCTGAAGGTCACTCTGGTAGTTTTATTCTCATTTCCTTTGCCCTGCTGTAGTCCAAACCACCACACCTGCTCCATTCAACTTACTTAAGGTGGAATACTGTAATAAAACAGCTCCCACCTCCTCACCTTCCCCCCCCCCCAAAAAAAAAATAAATTAAAGACTTAATACTTGTACCTTGAACATAACTGCTTGATGAGGACTTTGGTATATTTGGATGAACTGTAGCAGATCTGGTTCTGAAGCCTTGTCCTACAGCTTTGCCTTGAACAGTAGGAGCATTTCTTGTTAGAAACATGCCTGCAGGCATTAACATTAGTGAACTTAGCAGCACAATGCCTGGAGTAATGAAAAACCTGGTTTAGAAACTAATGCCAGCCTTGCATGGCATTTGTCCCCTAACAGCCTTCTGCAGTTTCAACTGCCTATTTGTCCTTTAGTTACACCTCCTGAATTGGATAATAAAACTTCACAAGTGAAATTTCAGAGTAGAAGCTGGTTATTAGGCAAAAAGAGAAAAGAAGCAGTTATTTACGGAAAAATGGTTTCTAGCTGATGTTTTCACTGCTTGATTGGTGTAAGAACTGAAATAGGCTATTTGGAGTTCACAGCAGTGAATCTGACTAATCTGGCTAATGAGTAAATATGCTTAGGTGCTTGTTGTGATAGCAGGTGTGCCGGGAAGGGACAGAGCACTGCAAGTGCCACCAAATACACATGGATGGTGTTGGCAGTTGTTCAGAGAGTATAAATCAGTCTCATGCATCCTGAACTGAGACTTCCTAAAGATCCTGGTGATACAGAGGATGGTGATGTGCAACGTTTCATGATTTCTATAGCTGATGCTGTCTGTTCACTTGAAGACTGGCAGAGGGGTAGCATTGGCAATGCTAGTTTCCACTTTTAAAAGCTGTTTTCTAGGTGACAGTAACTGTGTAACATAACATGTGCTGCACCAAACTGCTGTAGACAAACAGTAGGTTTGCTGCTAACAAAGGTGGAAGGTGCAGAAGAGGCCCTAAAGTGGCCATGCAATGCCTGCGTGGGAAGCAAAGTAAACTCTCTTTTCTGCTGATGCTGTACTGTTTTGGCTTGATCAAACAGTGCTGCTGTTCAGACATGCCCTGAGGAAAATGAACTATATGAAAGCCACTCTTAATCACCCTCAGCTGATCACCCTGTGTTGAATAAGCACTGCAGAACCAAGGTGATTATGACAAATACACCTCTCTGGGTGCAGTGGACACAGCTCTGCTGACAGGGTGTGGGGGGTCAGCTTTGGTTTTATTACTTGGGCAAAATTGGGTCTGCAGGACTTGGTTAGTTGTGTCAGGTACACTACAAGCTATTGACTGCTGTATTTACAGGGCTGGAAATGTAAGCAGAGTATGTGACACTGGACCCTAATGACATAATGCTAAACTTGTCTGTAGTGGAGGTGTCCTTGCTGAAATGGTGATAGATATGGGTCTGCCATTCTGTGAGACATCAGGGAACAAACTCAGTCTGTAGCTTGAGCTCTCTTAGTAAAGGTACTGCACTGCAATTGCCTTCACTCATGTTGAAACACTGGTGAGGCTTCCAGTGCAGTGGGTAACCCCATAAACAAATGGGTCTGGCTCAAGGTTGGGTAAGACTGGCTTTTCCTGAGGGGTTTGGATGAAGATGCTGCTCTTGCAGCAACAGTGAGGGAGAGCTTTTCTTGTAAAAATGTTACCCTCAACAGACTGGCACTTAGAGCAGCTGGAAGCTGTTACTCCACTGCCAGTCAGTGGCTCCAGGTCAGGTTAAATGCAGATGTGCACTTGAATCTGACCTTAGAACCTCTTGTTGTACCTGAAATTGCAGTGTTGCTTTTTTACAGCAGTACAGAGGTAAGAGATGCTTCTGGGGAGGACTGGCTTCAGTCTTTACCAAAGTCTTCCCCGAGTTTCTGTTTTGTTAAAGAGCTGGGATATAGGAAAGAAAAGGTAATGACTGACTGACTTTGTCTTATGTCCTTGTTGAAAGGAAGGAAGTGAAGCTACCAGCTTTGAAAACAATAACTTTGAAATTAAAGACAAGGCTCACATGACCCCTTAAATTTGGAAGTAGCAAAAGACATTACCTATGTACTTTTGTCCTGTTAAACCACAGCAGACTAAGGAAGTCTTGCAGCTCTTCTCTCCCATTTTCCTGCCTGCTGCCTCTGTTCCAGTTTCAGCTGCAATCCTAACACAACACCTTGTTATTATTGTTTTAAAAACCCCTAGGAGGAGCATAAGCTTAAAATAATCATCTTCCCACTGTGTTTTGTTAGCCTTCAATAAATATAGCTCTACCTGCTTCTTATGAAAAATGTATATAAAGCAACATCTGCTGCTTTTTATCAGCTCAATGAACAATTAATTACCTTGTAGTCAGCCCCTCTAAGCAGACCAGTGTTATGGACAAACTTACAGTAATGCATTAGAATTGCAAATCCCTTCACAAATACCTTCCCAATGTCTTGTCTCATATCTTCTAATAAAAACTGTTACCTCTCAGTAGGCTGATGGTGTGTTATCTTGACAGGCGTGTCAAGAGCTGAAACAAGATTCCATGAGTCTGTGATTCTGTGTGTGAGCAGCACAGCAGAGAGTGCAGGAGAGTCATGTGCTACGTGAAGGATTCCAGCCATGAATATAATGGTGCTGAGTATGGTGAAACTGTACAACTTCACTGGTTATTTCTTCCACTGCAGGAATTCAAAGATGCAGCAGGACTGACAGTGAGGACAGAAGGCTCTCCCTGAAGAAGTACAGAGTGTGAGCTCCTGGCCATGTCTATCACAGATCACAGCCCCACCACAGGCGTGGTGACTGTGATCGTGATCCTGATCGCCATCGCGGCGCTGGGGGCCCTGATCCTGGGCTGCTGGTGCTACCTGAGGCTGCAGAAACTCAGCCAGTCTGAGGATGAGGAAAGCATTGTGGGCGAGGGAGAAACCAAAGAGCCCTTCCTGCTGGTGCAGTACTCTGCTAAAGGACCCTGTGTGGAGAGGAAAGCTA